ATAGATAGATAGATAGATAGATAGATAGATAGATAGATAGATAGATAGATAGATAGTTCTTGTCTTACATCTATTCATTTAATGAGCATCTGAAATTACAACGGCACTGAAAATGGGACTTACAACTGTTTTCACACTTAAAGACCGTTGCAGCATCCCCACGGTCACATGATCAAAATTTAGACATTGGGCAACTGGCATGTATTTATGATGGCTGCAATGTCTTGGGGTCATGTGATCACCTTTTGTGACTTTCCGACAAGCAAAGTCAATGGGGAAGCCAGATTCCCTTAACAACCAGGTTTTATTTATTTTATTTTTATTTGTCAATTGCTTACAAGATAATAGGTATAAGTATAAACATACTTATGAATACATGGATACCTATAAGAAAAATAAAAGAAACAGTAGGACAGGGATGGTAGGCACGTTTGTGCGCTTATGCACACCTTTTACAAACTCAACCATTAACTCAATAATTCAACAATTATAATAACTCAACCACTGCAGTGATTCACTTAATGGCTGTGGCAAGAAAGGTCGTGAAACCGGGCAAACCTCAGTGAACAACTGTCTTGCTTAGCCATATAAAAGTTGGCTCAATTGCGAGCGTAAGTCGAGGACTAGCTGTAAAGGATAAAGCTGGAAAATGGGAGCAAGCAAAACCACAAAAGGTCAGGTGACGAAAGAAGACGCCCCAAAAGGAAACAAGTCTCAGGAATTCTGGAGGGAAACTGAACCCAGAGTGCCAATGCATTATAGAGGGAGAGAGGGAGGGGTAGAGAGGGAGGAAGGAAGAAAGAGGGAGGGAAAGAAGGAGGGAGCGACTCCCACCAAACAGGTTCAAAATGCTTGCAGGAAGGGAAAGGAAAGGCTGCTTACAAATGGGAACTGGATTGTTCAGTTACAGAAACCCTCACATCCAGGAGGCCCAAGAGCAAGCATGCTACTCTTCGTCGTCTCTAGAGGCTCTTGGTGAGATTGGAGGTAATGAGTCTTCAGTCTTCAAAGTTAAAAAGAAGCTCTCTATGATGCCCCTTTTGCTTTTTGACCCATTGAGGTCATACAAGGAAGGGAAGGCTAGCCTAGGCATCCTACTCTTGCTGATGGTGAATAGATTTGCACTATTTTCATTAAACAGAGTTTAGGTCCTCTAAAATATTCCCCAAGTTTTTCCGGTCAGACAAGTTACCTCTGTAAGCACTCTACTCACCAACATCAAACACTTCTCCCCTCTTCTCTGTTTGCCCACCAACAAATCCACCTGCAGCACCTGATTTCTAGATGATTTCAGGGTGGACTGGAAATTACAGTGACCTTTGACCTGTATTTTCTCCTCTTACTACAGTTCTTACTCTGCATGTCCTTCTTGCCACTGCTGCTTCATCAGCTATATAACCAAAGCCCTCAAAATTGGGACTGACCCAATTCGTATTATTATGCAGTACCAAACTTTGTCATAAAAAGCTGATTTAAAACAAAGTTTTAAACAAATGCAAGATTCATATTCATAGCCTCTTACTGTTCTCTTTTTTGGGGGGGTGGGGGGAGCACTGTAAATTTAAAACACATACTCATAGACAGGTCAGGATTCAACTTCTCAAAGTCATTGTGCAAATGCCTATCTGGGCTTCTTCAGAGAAACTGCAGAATTAGGAAACATCAACAATTTGAGAAATGTGGCTATCAAAAACGCAGCTACAGAAAGCACCAAGTGAATCGAACAGGGCTCTTGTTATAATTTTCAACAACCTTTTCACCATAACAGAAAAACAGAGTTGAAAGAGACCTTGGAGTTCTTCTAATCCAACCCTCTGCTCAAGCAGGAAACCATTTATACCATTTCAGACAAATGGTTGTCCAATCTCTTCTTGAAAACCTCCAGCTTTGGAGCCCCCACAACTTATGGAGGCAAGTTGTTCCACTGGTTAATTGTTTTCATTGTCAGGAAATTTCTCCTGAGTTCTAGGTTGTAACAGACTTTACTGAACAAAAATGCTGCTGCTGATGACAGTAAGAAGACACATCAGAAATTTGAGTATTCTTACACTTGGCTATTAAGAACAAGAAAAAAAAAAAGATTTCTTACTTTTCTTCCGGAATAAAATGATCATTCCAAAATTAGCATTAAGAATAGTGTGGAAAAACTTGTTTGAACCCTCTATTCAAACCATACAGATATTAGCAATAGCCCTTAGACTTATATACCTCTTCATCATGCTTTACAGCACTCTCTAAGAGATTTATAGAGTCAGCCTATTGCCCCCAACAATCTGGGTCCTCATTTTACCCACCTCAGAAGGAGGCTGAGTCAACTTTGAGGCGGTCAGGATCGAACTCCTGGCTGTAGGTAAAGTTAGCCTGTAATACTGCATTCTAAGCACTGTGCCATCGTGGCTCCCTATTAATTCCCTATTATGATGCCACCAGACTAGCAAGACAAAAAAAAAAAAACCACCACCACCACTGGAATTATAAACTCAGAAGAGTGGAATAATCCAGAGCAGGAAAGTTGGAGAGGGAAGCCCTAAAGAAAGACAGTCTATGTGTGGGTTTCTGGAGGGGGGAGACGGGGGAGAGACACAGAGGAGACTAAATATTAATTCCTCTTGGCAAAGAAAAAATGGTCCATTGTTTCTTAAACCATCAGCCTTCCAAAGTTTTTTCTCTCCTCTCCCCCCCGCCCCCCCCCAAAAAGAACCGAATTTTCCCAAATTCTTTAAAAGACACACACATACCCCCAAGCTTCCATTTCCAGAAAGCAGTGCTGGAGAGCGAAAGAGCGTGATTCAGAGAATTACATCAATCATTAAACAGTTAAATGAAGTTAGGATAACAGTTGCTATTGTTGTCTCTAAGCTCTCTTGGCTTTTCCAAAGCAGCTGCCAGGTCCTATTAGATGTATAAAAAGAGGATGCTTTAGACCAAAGAGAGCTGGGGTATTCTATTGAAAAGAGGAGACAATGGCTGATTTCTATAAACTCCTCAAGTCCTGTATAACATCTGTCCAGAATCAATTTTTGACCTAATGTTTCTTTTCACTGAATATTAGATTTACTATCTGAATGCAATTTGTTCTCTGGCCTGGAATTGTCACATGGAGCCCAAAACATTTGAGATGCAACCCGTTGCCAAGGCCTCTTGCATCGGCACCATTTAAATTAGAACTCAAAAAAACAAACAAACAACAAAGCTTTTCTTGGATTTTATAAAACTCACATGGCATGTCTTTGTAAGAAGTCTTTAGGTGCCTCAAGCCCAGAGAGACCACGGGACAAGACCTGACTAAGGTCCTGCCATGCATAAGAAACACAACCTCAGAGAATCATATGAAGGATTGTTTTAACTTCAAAGATAAGATAGAAATGCATGAGTTCGCATGTCCAGCTAAGCCATAAGTTGGCTGAAAAAACATCAATTGGTTAGATTTTTCATGTTGGGAGGATGTAGCATGTTAGGCTAAAGTAGAGCAAGCCACATTATGGGTTAGCATTTTATGTAAATGCAATCATTTTGCATAAGATATGTAAGCATAAAGGCTAAGCCATAATGGACTTATTTTTTCCCCCTGTATAAATCCAGTCAACCGTGGTTCATTTAAATAAACAATAAACTATGACTTTAGGTTCTGAATAAACCCAATCTTAGACTTGTCATGTGGGAAGCATTATGGGAAGACTGCAGGGGTACACACCACCCACTAAATCTTAAGCATCAGTCACATAACTACTGGGTATACATTAATGTTCTACCTAAGAAAATAAAATATATTAAAACTTAATATCATGGTCAAACTCTCAAAACATTTTAAGACCACTCAATACCTTTTGAGCTTAGCATAGTGCATGTATGTATAGAGTTACCCTGTAGTAAGATGGGTGACCAATAAATTTGATTAAATAAATAAAGAATGTATGAATTTAGCTGCTCTGCTTACCAGGATAGGGTAAGAACCATCACTCTGTTTCATCTTCAACTACAATAATGAAATAGAGGAATTCAATTTAGCAAAAGTGGAGATCATAGAACAAGCTTATAGAGGGTCTGTCTCCGTAACAGATCTGGGACATAATGAAGAGTACCAGAGAAACAGAAATGAATTGAGCTGTATTAGGAAGGAAATTTGTTTTTAATGTATTTTAAGATTATTCACACTGACTACAGTCAATTGCTGAGTTAGGTGGCCATACACATTGAATGAATGAATAAGTAAACAAATAAATCACTTGATCCAAGCACTTGTACAAAATGTTTGCTTCATATTCTAAGTGAGGACCAGGAATTCTTGTTTCAGATGCTATAGCCATACTAAGTTTTGTAACCTATAGCTTGTCTCCTCTTTCTTTGATGCTTTATTAATTAGTACCCAGAATGGCTGTTAACACAGATAAAAAGAAAAATTCCACTTACCCATAGGGTCTCTGAATAAGAGCTGGATGTAACTGCTGCACCCCTAAGGTAAAACCTAGGGAAAAATGGTTGAAGCAAAGTTAATCTAAATCATGCAACTTGGTGGCTTCTTCAACAGTGCAACCCTACTATAGGACTGTGCATCTTATCAATTTCACATGTTCAATTGTTAGTATGCACTAAGCTGTTTTGGACTGTGCTAGAAAGATGTATAATAATATCGCATGTCTTCCCTTTCTTTAAAACTTTCCATCCTCTCTTACACATTTGAGTAGAATAATGATAGATAGTTGATCAATCGACCCCAAACGTCTAGATTGATGTTCACATTTGTATCTTTTATTACTTTCTACTCAGGAGCTTCCAGTTTATTTATTTAGATTGTGATAAAATTCAATTCCCTTAATTTTCACCTTGAGATTGTATTACATTTACATCTTTGTTTCCTTTTGGTACACCTTCTGGAAGAAGATTAATATTTAAAAATAACTTCAGCATGAACTTTTGAAATGTTTTAACTCAAAATAGGGTCTCCTTGGGCTTCTCTATTTTTGACAAAGTTTCAAAAATATCGTCCCCAGGTGAAATAGTAAATACTGTGGAGATGCACTTAAATCACAGCCTAAACTTTATTAGCATCAATCTTAATTAGGTTTTCCTTAATTATTGTGAACTCCGTCCACTGCATTAACTCATAGTTCTGTAAACTGCACACCAACAAAATAATTTAATTCAGTAATCAGGTTTAGTATGTTTTGTGAACTTAACTAATGTGTACCATGAAAAGAGCTGGTTATGCTTTGTAGAAAAATCCATGTATTGCAGAAACCATATTCAAAATCTGCCTAATGTTGTTTTTTTCATACATTTTCAAAAAAGACGATTAAAGAAGAAATTGTACAGAACAGAGTATTGTTCAGATAAATGCAGCACTCACATGAACCTGATTTACACAAAACCACTCCTACCTAATTGGAAAATATTTGGCTGTAGTTTTTTCAATTCCGTATACAAATTGAAATCATTTTCATCTTTATGCAGCAATTTCTTTCTGTTTTTGCAATACATTTATTTTTAATGCATAATTCAAAATTGCAGATAATATATATTCAAATATACTGCACACACTAAAATATATTTGAATATACTTTCTGTTTTCTTTTTTTAAAACGATTAAGATCTTCAGCTTATATCTTTTCAGTTTCTATTTCATGTCTTACAAATTGCTAGAAACTGAGGAAACAGAATGTAAATTGAAGCACAGGGCTGAAGATTTCTGTTGCTGATTCCTATTTCCCCTCATTTTGGCTTTTATTTACAAGTGTGACATTTCGAGAAATCCTCTTGTTTTCGTGAACCTCACAATTTAGGATTCTACATAGGTGGTATTTTTATTAATGAAGCAGTAATACAGCTGCATATACCCTATGGGACATAGAAACACAGAGTTGGAAGGCTATTGAATCCACAAAATTCCACCCTCAGCTTCATGCAAGATTCCAAATTAAAGTCTCCTTCGAGATCACACCAAGAAAGAGAAAGTCAGCATCTTTCTGGGTCTACTGCACTTTCTCCAAGGAAAATATTTCTAACCTTCAATTGATAATTTATTATTCTCTGTCCTCTATCTGAAACAATCAAAAAGTTCTGGTGTTCTTCAGTCTAGCAGAGATATTTGAAGACTGCATTATATCCCCCTTCACTCTTCAGGTTAAACATACCAAGTTCCTTCAATCACCCTACTTAATTCAGAAAACAGATAATCAGAGTTGGAAGGGAACTTATAGGTCATCTAGTCCAACCCCCTGCCCAAGCAGGAGACCCTACACTGGTGCCCACCTTAATGTTCCTAGGCCAGTGATGGTGAATCTATGGCACGTGTGTCAAAGGTGAAATGCCACACTCTGTGACACACCAGCAATCCCCAACATCCAACCATTATTTTCAGAAGCATGCTTGGTTCTCAACACAATTTTTGGAGGCTGCAAGGACCATGAGACAATGGGGTGTACTTTTTGCATGGTCTCTGGTCTTTCCGAAAATGAGTTTGTTTTACTTATATTTCATTTTTGTAATAACTTGACATTTCTTTATATAATACATGATTGAACCGTATTTTTTAAATAAATGAACAAAGAATTGTTTCTCTTTTGTTCAAGGGGAGAAGGGTTGACACGCCAGCAGAGTCAAATTAGGTATTTTTTCAATTTTTGACCAGAGCTCAAATAAGTTCTCACCCCTCAAGGGGCATTCCAAGAAATTAAAATGGTAGCTTGGTTACAGCCCAACACTGTGATAGATAGTGTGTACATTTTCTAGTGGGGGAAAAGTCAAAGGTAAGATTGTTTTAATTTAAAAATAAATAAATGAGAAGCTAACATGCATCAAAGCGAAGTGCCAACTCAAGCATTATCATCATTTCCAGGAATGTTTCTGGGCTCAGAAGCTTTCTTGGAAAATACATTGACAGGACTTTCTGGCTGTCTTCTGTTTGGAAGTGTGCCTGTTCTCCCTACCAGGAGAAAGAAGATGGAAGATGAAGTGGTGCAGAGGATTCTGGGAAATTACATCAGTTGGTGGAAGCAATCCAGACAGATTGCCTTCCAAGAAATAAGTGATAGGTGATTGGTTTCACTCAGGGGTGGGATTCAAATGTTTTAAACAACCGGCTCTGTGGGCGTGGCTTAGTTGGTGGGCGTGGCTTGGTGGTCATGTGACTGGGTGGACATGGCTTGGTGGTCATGTTATTGGCTGGGCGTGGCCAACTCAATATCACTCACATCGAGGCACGCGTCTCCTCGCCTGGCCTCTCATGACTCTGAGGATGCTGCAACAGTCGTAAGTATGAAAAATGGTCATAAGTCACTTTTTTCAGTGCCATTGTAACTTTGAATGGTCACTCCACAGAAGGAAAGTGCCATCAAAGGAGGGGAAAAAAACTCCAGAGAAGTTCCAGAGACAGGAAGTCTAGTCCTGCCAAGAATGTAATAAGGGTTAACGGAGAGGCAGTTTCTGTAAGCAACACCAGAATGTTTCCTTCCTTCCTTCCTTACAGGATTAGGCCAGTAATTTCTTCTAATAACTGGTTCTCCGAACTGCTTAGAATGTTAACAACCGTTCTAGGGAATAGGTGCGAACTTGTAGAATCCCACCCCAGGTTTCACTCATTGTGGCTGCCATTTTGTGAAAGTGCTTGTGACATGCTCTCACCAATTCAAAACACTAACTCTGCAAGTTGTGGAAAATCAATTATACGTGCATATTTTAAAATATGCATCACAGTGGTTTTTAATTTCTCTTGAACAGCAAATGAAGGATGGGCAAAGCATTGCAAATTGAACTGTCCCAAATTCAAAACACCCAGTTTTGAGCACAAAACAGCCCTTTTAAGTATTTTGGAAACATTTCAAGTTTGCCAGTCAGAGTTTCAAGCTCAGAACAGTCAATCTTGATGGACTGTCGAAAGGCCTCAAAAACCAGTTTTGTGTCATAACCTAAAACAACTGGTTTGTACTCAAAAAGAGAGAGAGAGAGAGACTATTTAAATTTGAAATATTTGCTTATACCTAGCAAGAACATTTCATGTAAAGGCAAGTATTTTAAAGCATCAAATTGATGAGATCATGAGGATGATGCACTAATTCCAATTTCTGCTTTGCTTTGAATGTGCCCGTTTTGGATGGCATGACCAATTATGATTAAGGCAAACAAAAAAAAAAAAAAAGGACAAAGCTTGGACAAAAATGAAAAAGGGAACATTCACACCCCCTTCTACCATCTGACTCTGGTAAACTGCTACAAAAGGTTGCCTAGCTTTGCTATTGAAGTATAAATTCCAGACACTGGTTTTGTGAACATTGTTCTTGATTCCCCATCATGATATTGGTCAGCTGAGCTTTCATACAATGCTTGTTAATAAAACAGAGAAAAAGATACTTAGTGAGTTACGAGCCTTAATTATTCCTGTCCCATGTCTGGGACCAGGGACCAGCACCGGTCTATGACCTGGGGGTTAGGGACTCCTGACTTAGTGCAGAGTTTCCCAACCTCAGCAACCTTTAAGCTGTATTATATGCACACAGGTGGGGAATTCTAGAAATTGAAGGCCACACAGCTTAAAACTGCGGGGGTTGAGAAACCATGGCAATGTCTGAACCTAATCCGTAGCTGTTTATTGGGGCTTCTGCTGCAGTGCCCCTGCATAATAGCACCTCTGCTGATAGCCAGGAGACTGTTGGTGGCTTTGGATATGCCAAGCTTGGCAGTAGAAAACAAGGGAGAAAAGACTGAAGGGTTTACTTGAATGCTGCATAAAGCATGAGAGTTGAATAAAATTGGACAGAGAGGGATACGGCTGTTGTGAGGGGGATACGACATCATCTATCCCCAGTCTACAACACAGTCCTTTCAGCAGTTCCAAGAAGATTCCACAACCATTTGCACCACTCAGGTGACCCTGAGGACACGGATAAACCTCCAACTGGCCTCAATGACTTTCTAAAATAATGCAAATGACCAGCTATCTGCAAGAAGTCTATAAATCCTTCCAAGTCAGAGCTGAAGAAGCTTCTTGGATGAGAAGCAAAATGTCTTCAAAGAAAAAAAAAAACCCGAACACCCCAGTTGCCTCTTGAAAAAAGTGCGTATACTGGATTATCTCTACTGAAGTCCATATAAAACAGTCTTTCTCAACCTTGGCAGCTTTAAGATGGGGAATTCTGGGAGTTGAAGTTCACCCATCTTAAAGCTGCCAAGGTTGAGAGAGACTGGCATGGAACATGAAATAACTTAAGTGACGGTAAGAGAAGAGCTATTGGCCTCACCAGTTTGAATACTCCTTGGCTTTGCTCCCAGATACGCTAGGTTGACGTTTGCTTTCCGCCCATCAATGATGGGATTGGGATCTTTACAGGCTCTTTCAGCTGCAGCTCTGTCAGTCATGGTGACCTGGAAAGAAGCAGACAATTTCCCTTTGTAGAAAGACAGATCAAGCACAGATTTTGTTTTAGAAATGCACAGCACAGCTTCCCTCCAAATGGATCGGACAGGGATGTATGCAACAATTAAAAACAAGATGTAGGAAAAGCAACCTTAACATTAAAGCATAATCAGGAGCGTTAAAATTGCATGCATTGTCTTAAAAATTGGCTTTACATTAGATAAAGGTAAAATTTACATTTTTTTCACTTAGTGTTAGCATTGCACAGGTGTAGCTCCCATCAATTAAGATGGAATCAGAGAGTCCACAGGAATCATCTCTGTATATGCTTGGTACGTATTCTTGCAAATTATATAGTCATATATGATATAATAAAAACAAAATTAAAGCCAAGGTAATGGGTACTACTGCATGATCAAATCCCTGTCCTTTTTTATACCCACCACCCTGATTTTTTTTAACCCTAACCCAGACCACCCCAATAAAAACTTGCAGATAAGAGCCATATTTATCTGTTCACTATAGTGTTGTGGCAATGAGTCAATTTCAAAAACCATGCAAAGATCAAGGACAGTCAACACAACAGTCCATTTTGACAAGTATTGTAACCAGACAGGTCTTCATATACCCATCCCAGTTTGTTTGTTTTTAAAATATCTTAGCTTGATTATCCCCTGTGCATGTAAATATTGGCTTGGTTTGGACACTGTTTACCACTGTTTATCATTTAGCAGGAATAGCCAGTACCCCAGAAGACAAGTTCAGGATCCAAAAAGATCTTGACAGACTTAAACAATGGACCCTATTCAACAAAATGAAGTTTAATGTGGAGAAAAGCAAAGATTTACATGTAGGCAGGAAAAGCCAAAGGTATAAGTATAAATTAAGTGAGACCTGGCTCAAAAACAGTAACTGAGAGGGTTAGGGAGTCCTAGTGGATGATCACTTGAATATGGACCAGCAGTGTGTGGCAGCAGCCCAGAAAATCAAATACAATCCTGGGCTGTATAAACAGAGGCATAGAATCAAAATCACGTGACGTATTAGTACCACTTTATAAAACCCTAGTAAGACCAAACCTGGAATACTGCAACCAACTTGGTCGCCACACTACAAAAAACATATCGAGACTTTGGAAGAAGTTCAGAGAAGAGAAACTAAGATGATCAAAGGCCTAAAAACTAATACATATGAAGAACGGTTGCAAGATTTGAGTTTGCTAGTCTAAAGAAAAGAAGAATTAGGAGCGACATGATAGCAATATTCCAGTATTTGAGGGGCTGCCACAAAGAAAAGGGGGCCAAATTATTCTCCAAAGTACCAGAGGGCAGGACAAGAAAAATGGATGGAAACTAATCAAGGAGAGAAGCAACCTGGAATTAAGCAGAAACTTCTTAACAGTGAGGACAATTAACCAGGGGAACAGCTTTGCCTTCAGAAATTGTGGGTGCTTCATCACTGGAGGCTTTTACCAAGAGGCTGGACAACCACTTATCTGAAATGGTATGTTTGAGTAGGAGACTGGATTAGAAGACCTTCAATGTTCCTTTTAGCTCTATTCTATTCTAAAATTATGTTAATCTGTCTAATCTGGTAAAAATTATTTTTGAGAAATCCAAGTCAAATTTGAATAAATTAGAAGTTAAAACTATATGGTCTGCTCTGGAACTGGAATTTTAAAAAAGGACATTTCAAACACAATATGTTGCCTGGGTTTCCATATTGCTCTAATGTGTGGATCACTGATCTGAGCTAATGGATAACTTAACCATTACATTTATAAACCATGATTTATGGCTAGTCCTGCACCAACAAGACATAAACACATATTGAAATGCAAATTATATCAATAAAACATCGATGGTTAGAAGAGCCCTGGTGGTCCGGTGGTTAGAATGCAGTATGGACGGTTGACTCAGCTCACTGCCATGAGTTCGATCCTGACTGGCTCAAGGTTGACTCAGCCTTCCATCCTTCTGAGGCCGGTAAAATGAGGACAATATACTGACTCTGTAAATTATGTAGAGAGGGCTGTAAAGCACTATGAAGTGGTATATAAATCTAAAAGCTATTGCTATTTAGGTATGGCAGCCAATTTGGTGTAATAATTAAGGCACGAAGTTAGAAATCAGGAAACTGTGAGTTCTAGTCCCACCTTAAGGACAAAGCCAGCTGGGTGACCTTAGTCACTCCCTTTCTCTGGAGTCTTAGAAAGAAGACAGGAAGGGAAAATCACTGCTAAAAATCTTTGCCAAGAATAAGTAGTCCAGGAAGCCACTAGGAATCAACACAGACTCAGAGCACACTTCCCTCCCCTATTATAGTAGATTAAGTATCCTCCACTGGGTGGGTTTGAAGAACACCAAATTGCTTCATTATTCATTCCAAGATACAAGTTCCTAAGCAAGACAAGAAAACAAAACGTTATTCTTTGGAACTTTTTACAATTGCATGGGGTGAGGTAAGAGTTCATTTGCTGGTCAGGAAACTGAGCCTCACCTGTTGCTCTTAACAACAGATTTCCTCTCCACAATCTTTTTTTTTTTTTTGGTCAGGGGTTTTAAGAAAGCAATCAGGACAAGGGAAAGGGATGAACTGTACAAAAAGGCCTTTAGCTGCAATCCCCAGCATCTTTAAGAAGGCATGTGGGGGGGGGGGGAATGCTCCTTTCTGAATTCCTAGCAAACTGGCTCTCTCTGCGGAACACACTTAAATCAAATCAATTGTGGGATGAGTCACACAATCACTGAACCTCAGTCAGCAGTGGGGTGGGAGAGAGTTTATTTTAATCCCCCAACAGCCTTGAGTTTTCAGGGTTAAGCTACATTCATCTGGTCAGTTACATTGTATGAACGTTACTGCTTGATCCACTACTTTCCAACCCTTATCGAGTCTTTCCGCTAAGGCGGCATATGCTGGCTGCGGAATCCTGGGAGCTGAAGTCTACACATCTTAAAAGTTGCCAAGGTTGAGAAACACAGTGATAAGAAAAAAAAGTTGGCAACACGTGCTGGCTGAACACAAAGAAGCTTTTATTTTACTGAACTTTCTATCAAGACCATAACAGCGGCCAGGGGTCACCCCACCCCCTCAAGCACGGATTGACTCCATGGTCATGGTGAAGCTATGCCTTTATGGAAGAGGTGTTTGATGAGGAGTGGTAAAACTTTGCCAATCATGGACAAACACAACTTTAGATAGGTTAGCAGGCATCATCTGAAGAAAACAGATGAGGGCTCTGTAGTCCCACCATATCAACTTTTGACTCAGTTACTGGGGCTATAAGCTGCAGAACTAGGAAATTTGACCAGGTTACATACTATGTGGACAAGGTCAACAGAGAAAATATAGAACAACAAGGGGCTGTGATCAACAAGGATGCTGCAGTCTACGACACCTTCCTAATTCAGCATGCTTCCTCATCTAACTACATCTTCTTTCTAGTAATAACAATATTCTGAGATGCCCAACAGCAATATCCAAGACTACGTTCTGTCTCCTGCTGCACATTCCAAACAACTCGTGCCTACAGGTGTGCTATTTCTGAACCTGGGGTAATACTTCGCCATAATTTGTACCCTCCTCATGCATGGAAGAACTGATCTCTTGCCCTTTGACACTGATGGCCGACTGAGAGCATCTGCTATATAAAAAGATTCCAGGGACAGTCACAACACAGCATAGTGGAGCACATTCTTTGCAAGTGCTGCTTGCGAAATACTGTTGTTCTATCCTAGGATATTCCATGTCATCATGCATTTCATGCCTTCATGCTTTTGAGCTTTTCCCCAGAAACTCAGCCAGCAGTTAGTGCATTTAGCATCATTGAAAAATTTAGTTCTCCTATCAATCTCCATTTTTGGAGAATTTAATTCTTGTTTTCCACATTCCGATAAGTCTATTGGTAAGACACTGTTTTGCTTGGCCTTTGGCTACAATACTCACAATAAAGGTAAGGTTGGTCACTGCTAATAATTATGTGGAAATATAATGACGGCAATATCATGTAAGATCTGAAGTTTCATGTGCTATTATGTCGAGGAAGGCGAAGTTACAGACTTACAGCTGATCAAGGAAGAGGGAAAGGGTAGACTGTGTGGCCATTTCTGTAGGCAGATTTGGAAGTTTGAGAGAATGTCACAGGTGTGCTTACAAAATGGCTGCTGCAGAGGGCCTGCCTCTTTAAAACATGACTATCAAGGTGAACATGTCCAGTCACAAAACACAGATTCACCAAGAAGGTAAACTGCCAAAGTTACTCTCTGCCACTCTCTTTAGTATCTAATCTTATATTGATCTTTGCTAGGTAAAAAAAAAAGATCAAAGTAAGATTAGAGATTAAATACTTCGCTAGATGGCATCCTTCCAAAGAAATCACAGGGCAAAAAAAATCTAACTTTTAATTTTTTTTCTAGGAATGCTTAGGGGAAGTCCAGAGGCATTCTTGTAAATGAAGATACTAGAGGCCAATGTTTGTAATATGGCTACTTTTAATTCAGTTTCTCTATATAGTTAAACCCATTAACAGATTTCATAAGATTGCCCTGGACTGGATCAAAAGCAAGTGACAGTATTTGTGTTGGCTGACTGCAATTGTTTTACATAGTGCATTTAAGGAAAAAAAGAGCTTAAAAGTGTTCTGCATGTGTTTGTGCCTATTTGTGAGGCATTTTAATCTACAAATTGATTTTAGGATATCTCAGTGCTTCCTTAGTCATGCTTTAATTATCAAAAAATAGTCAACAATTCCCATTGTTACTGTGTCTTTGAAATTAAACTGAAGTATGGTATATGTTCCTTCCTCTCTAGCAAACCTTTGTTCCTGGCTGCTCATGGCTTCCTACGCTTCCTCCCTTCTCCAATAATCAGATTTAGTATCTTCCTCCCTTCTGACTGTTGGCAATTTTTGTTTCAATCTTCCCAGGGAGAAAAACTTCCAATAGAAACTTTTGTTCTAATACTCAGTGACTATTAAATGTCCATTCTTCTTATTGTCCAGCTAGGTGAGAATATCTGGCTATTTTGGACAATCTCAAAAAGCTAAAGGAGAGTCAGATAATACTTGGGTGGGAGACTGTTAGGAAATTGCAAGCTGTAGATTCTTCAAGAAGGTGAAAATATATCCTGGAAAGTAGCCCCCAAATGAACTTTATTCAAATAAGATTTCTTTTATTTGCTTGTATACTTGAAAGGAGAGATATACAATATATCTCCTTCCTCAAATAGGCATCTCACAGCATACAGTGTTTCTCCCTCACCATCATGTCTAAATACCTTCCTGATATTAATTCCCTGGAAGCTCAATAATGTAGAGATAGAACAGTAATATATAAGCAGTTGCCATCCAATCTCTCTACCATTTTGAATGACCCAGAACTCACTATGGAGACAGTTTCTGTTTTCTATCCTCTACTTTTCTGAATCAGTAGTGGAAAATGGTTAAGAACCACAACAGGCAAGGAACTTATCTTCAGTATAGCATTGTATCCACAAAAACTGCATGGCTTAGAATTGACAGTTGTGGGATATGGAAGACTGACACCATCAGTGTTTACAAAACTAGAATATAGCTGTATCAAGGAGGATGTAAAGTAATCCTGTCTGACAAAAACATGTCTTTCAATTGTTCAGAGATCAGGGAAAGCAACCACCAATTCATAGTTACATCTCTATTTTTCAAGAGAAAGAATGTACCATTTTCCAAGAGAATACCATCACAAAGAATCCATATTTGGTTTTATCCCATCTCTTTGTCCATTGTTGAGGCCCATTGATCCATCATCCTACCATTCTGCAAAATGAGTTCAGTTACAATCTGGAATCATTAGAAAGAATTTCTTTATAAGATCCTATTTCAGAAGACGATTTCCCCATACAGGATAGACAGTGCTCCCAAGGCTGCATATACAGATATTAGATGATACAGCAGTGAGCCAAATATTTCTATTTATTCATAAACTTACTAGACCAGCAAACTGCCCCACGCTGTTATCAAGCCTCCTTTCTCTTATTGTGGACAATAATTCTTATCTACAATTAAATGGAATCTGGCAAGACTATAAACAGCATTTTTGAACTCAGCTCTTTAGATCTAGGGAGCTGCTTCTGATCTCTAAAGAATCGTCAAAAACAGCAATCGCTGAACCCAACTGTTCACTTTCTATTCTGTTTAAAATTGGCAGCCAACGATCTTCACCAATTCTCTCCTCCACCCCACCCCGCATCAATGATTCATCCTACCTCTGTTATGCCAAACACAGGCACTTTTGAAACTCATTCTCTAGGGACTCCTCTCAATCCATTTCAGAAAACTTGAAAAGGACCGGTTGTTCTGGGGATGCTTAATGCACGATATATTCCTTCTCATGTTTTACATTCCATTCCTCCTTCCCCAGTTCCTTCCTACCTGCTTAAAGGTCAAAACAAGAAACACAACCCAGTCAGGACCCATAAACGTGAACTGGAAGGTGTCTATGTTCAGACCACATTTTTAATCTTAGTACACATAGTCCTCGAATTACAACGGTTTGTTTAGTGACAGTTCCGAAATTACAATGGCACTGAAAAAAGTGACTTATGACCGTTTTTCACCATTATGACCGTTGCAGCATCCCTATGGTCATGTGATTTACATTTGGATGCTTGACAACGGACTCATATTTATGACGGTTGCATTGCCCCAGGGTCATGTGATCCCTTTTGTGACCTTCTGACAAGCATTTGTTTTCCAGATTTTGTTCTATTGTACTTTATTATTTGATTCTTTTTGTTAGTTTTTATTGTTTTTTGTTTTAAATATGGTTTTACATTCTGTAAGCTGCCTCGAATAGCCATGGGCAAATAGGTGGCAATATAAATAAAATAAATAAATAAAATAAATAAAGTCAATTATTCACTTAACAACTGTGTTACTAATTTAACAACTGCAGTAGTTCATTTAGAAAAGTCATAACATGGAACAAAACTCACTTAACATGTCTCAATTAGAAACAAATTTTGGGCTCAATCACGGTGGTAAGTTGAGTTAAGTACCATTACAGATTTCATTCACTGTCTGAGTACATTATAACATCTTAGATGTCATAACTACTGTAGGTGAGGTGGGTTCACAAAAATAAGCCACAAACTAAGCCCCAGCAAAACAGAACCAAGCCAGCATGAATTGGGCTGTAAATGCGATCCAGTTAAGTGGAGCTGTGAGAAAACAGCTGGGGATCTCTTGAAGAATCCCCTCACAATGAAAATGCTGTATGCTTCAAATCCAGGATGGAGGAGGGGGAAGAAGAAAAGAGTTAAGAGTTTTCCTGCATTGTGTAAAGAGGGAAGCCAAGTAGGGCTAAAAGGGGGAAGAAAGCTGTTGCTTTAAGCCAGTGAGGAGCTGAAGAGGAGATTCAGAAAGGGCATTTTCAGCGATGGTCTGGACCAATCCTTCTTCAACTGGTTTGCCCCCCCCCCCCCCAAAAAATAAAAAAAATAAAACGCCAGGTGGTACAGATGTGCAAAAGGGAGCGAGCCCGATACGCACAGCTGGGGATGATAGGTTGTAGCCCAAACCATCCCTACGGGACCCGCCATGGAAAGGCGACTCAGCAATGTCGCCTTTGTTAGAAGTGTCTGGAGATTAGGGGGGGTGGGCAGTCCGACGGCTCCGGGGCAAGACTCCTGGCGAAGCGGTCCCGCTCCACCCTCCGCCCCGCGCACTTACAAAGCCATATCCTCGGGATTTGCCCGTCTGCCGGTCCGTGATGACCACGGCTTCGTCGATGTCCCCAAACACCTCGAAGTACTTCCTCAGCGAGGAGTCCGTGGTGTGGTAGGGCAGCCCCCCGACGAAGATCTTGGTGAAGGTAGTGTCCTTTTGCACCGTGTGCATGGCGCTGCCGCTGACGGAGCAACCCCGGCGGCCGGGGCAGCAGCGGAAGCTGTCGCTCGGGGACGAGAAAGCGCCGGCGGCGGGTGCTGGGCAAGAGGAGAGGTTGGAAAAAGCATCCAAAAGAGGCGCGGGGAAGCCGAGGCGCGAGGGGAAAAGTTCCAGGGTGAAAGGAAAGGCGCTTACGGAGCCCGGCTCGGGGAGCTCAGGCACGCGGGCCACGGCGGGGAAGGCAAACCTGCTCGCCCGGGAGATCCGGCGCAAGGCTTACGGGCGGACCGGCAGCCCCGCGTCCCATGCACGGGCTGAGGCGGCGGCAACAGCAGCAGCATCGGCGCCCGTTGCAAAAGCGCACCGCGTTGCGCGCCAAGATCGCCGCTCCGAGCCGCCGAGGACGAAAGTAATTTGTGGCGGATGCGACCAGCGGGCTTTGTACCCATCCTTCTTTCTCCCCCCGCCCCCCGGCCGCTTCCACCCAAGACCCAACCACGCCTCCCCGTGCTTTGGCCGGTGGAGAGAGGGAGAGAGAGCCGCAGAGGACCCTGGGCTTCGTAGTTCGCCGCTCTCGGTCAAGGGCAATGGGCACGGGACTCTAAAATGCTCGGGTAGAATGAATGAGCTGGAAGGGACCTTGGAGGTCTTCTAGTCCAGCCCCCTGCTCAAAGCAGGAGGCCCTATACCATTTCAGATAAGTGATTACCTGAAATCCGGAAGAGTGCACAGGTGTTTCAAGTCACAAAATGGTGGTGTAATTAAAAATGAAGAAGTTTTCACTTTCTCAGAGGGTCATACCTACCGAATTAAAAAAAAAACCTGAACTGCATTAGAGTAACATAACTTTAGAATAGAATAGACCTAGGCGGGACCTTGGAGGTCTTCTAGTCCAGCCCCCTGCTCAAGCAGGAGAACCTATACCATTTCAGATAAGCGACTGTCTATATTCTTTTTAAAAACCTCCAGGGATGAAGCACCCACAATTGCTGAAGGCAAAGCTGTTCCACTGGTTAATTGTTCTCACTGTTCGGAAGTTTCTCCTTAGTTAAATGTTGCTTGTCTTCTAGATTAGTTTCCATCCATTGTTGGAAGCATTCTTGTCCTGCCCTCTGGTGCTTTGGATAATAATTTGACCCCCTCTTCTTTGTGGCAGCCCCTCAAATATTGTAATACTGCTATCATGTCACCCCTAATTCTTCTTTTCTTTAGACTAGCCAAACCCAAATCCTACAACCGTTCTTCATGTTTTAGTCTCCAGGCCTTTAATCATCTTAATTGCTGTTCTCTGATTTTTTTTCCCTCCAAAATCTCAACATCTTTTTTTGTAGTGTGGTGACCAAAAATAGTTGCAGTATTCCAAATGTGGTCTTGCATATAGTTTTGTAAAGCGGTACTAATACTTCACATCATTTTGATTCTATGCCTCTGTTTATACAGCCCAGGGTTGTATTAGCTTTTTTGGCTGCTGCTGCACATTGCTGGCTCATATTCAAGTGATCATCCACTAGGACTCCAAGGTCCCTCTCAGTTATTTTTGAGCCAGGTGTTGCCTAATTGGTACTTATACCTTTGTTTTTTCCTGCCTAAAATGTAAACCTTTGCTTTTCTCCACATTGAAATTCATTTTGTTGGATAAGGCCCATTGTTCAAGTTTGTCAAGATCTTTTTGGATCCTTTTTAGAACAGCATAGGAGCGGCATGCTTTCAGACTTCAAGGAATCAACTTAGACAGCAGACCTACACCCCCCGTGTGGTTCCCCAGGCTGACTCGGGCATCTCTTGTTCCCCGTTTGAATTCTCAGAAACCTCAAATGGGCTTTCTAAGGCAGTTGCTAGATATCTCCTCTAAGGTGAGGGGAAATTGTTTCTGGCTAAGTACAGGTAGCCCTCGACTTACAATTGAGCTCAATATTTCTGTTGCTAAGTGACGCATTTGTTCAGTGAGTTTTGTCCTGTTTTTTTTTTTATGACTTTTTTGCCACAGTTGTTGTGAATCACTGCAGAGGTTCAGTTAGTAGCACGTTTGTTAAGTGAGTCTGGCTTTCCCATTGACTCTGCTTGTCAAAAAAATTGCAAAAGGGGATCATTGCATGATACTTGGACCCTGCCATTGTCATAAATATGAGTCAGTTGCTAAGGATCTGAATTTTGACCATGCACATGCTGCAAGGGTTGTTAGTGTAAAAAATGGTCGTAAGTCACTTTTTTCAGTGCTGCTGTAACTGAACAATCATTAAATGAACTGTTGTAAGTTGAGGACTACCTGTATGTTCCTCGCAGCTGCAGTGCTGTGTATCGGCCAGCATCTTGTTATCCTTGGCGACTTTAAAATGGGTGGACTTCAAGCTGGCTGGGAAATTCTGGGAATTGAGGTCCACCTATCTTAAAGCTCTCAAGGTTGGGAAAACATTGGCTTAGTCTGAGGTGTAAAACACCTTATTCAGATGTAGTTGAGTCATAAGAACTGGACTTCTTTTCTTTTTGGTTTGAAACTTTTTGCTGCTTATCCAAGTAGCTTCTTCAGTCTGAGCAAGTTGGTTAGGAGAACTCCATTATATTTCCTCCAGGATGGTTTCATTTCTCACCTAATTTAAATAGGCCCATTAGGTGAGTAGGCGGAAAGTCATTAAGAGTAGTTGCTCCTAAATCCTTTCTCCTAGGTGAGTTGGGGTAGAAACACCACCAGACCAGAGTCAACAGTGTACCTTCATTTAAAAGAAAGGGACATTCTTTTGAGGACAATAACATTCATATTTTGGATAAAGATAGATGGTTTAAGTGAGGAACAAAGGAATCCATTTGGCAACCCTGAAGTTGTTGAGATGGCTTCGGTCAGGGCAACTTCAGAAACCCTGAAACCATTGATGCCAAAGTGGAAAATTCTTCCCTCAATAGAGGTGGAGGCCAACCTGTCTGCCATTTTTTAGGCTGTTCTTTCATCATTCCCCAGGAAGATTAAGACCACAGGTTCACCAGGGAGGATACACCTAACCCACCCACTAGGGTAAAGGATTTAGTAGCTACGACTCTTAATGACTCTCTGCCTATTCTCCTAGAAAGCCTATTCAGATTAGATGGGAAATTAAGGATTTACGTAGGGTAACCAGCTTGCTCAGACTGAAGAAGCTACTCGAATAAACAGCAAAATGTTTCAAACCAAAAAGGGAAAGTTCGGTTGCCACCACTCAACTTTAGACAACTCCACCTGGAAGACACAAAAACTTCACTGACATGTTTCAGTGGGGTGGCCAAGTTGAATCACTAAATCTTGAAGTTCATTGGTAAATCAAACTGTATGCTCTAAAATAGGACTGATGTAGGAAAAAAATGGAAGGAAAAAAAATGAAACGGGAGAAAAACCCTGAACCCTGAATTTGGCCAATTCCCCCATCAATTCTCCCCAAGTTGCCCTGTGTCCTAGTTGAGCCTTGCCTACTTCACAAAATAGATTAAGCAGATGGTGCAGGAAATGGTCATGAGAACCTCCTGAGAAGACACGTGTAGTTTACGCAGATTTAACAGATTAACACAGTTGGAAGGGATCTTGTAGGTCTTCTTCAGCCCCCACCCCCACAAGCAGAAGACCCTACACCATTTCTGACAGATGGCAGTCCAAAGTCTTCTTTGAAAGCTTCCAGTGGTGAAGCTCCCATAACTTCTGAAAGCGATCTCTTCCATTGGTTGATTGTTCTCACTGTCAGAAAATTCCTCCCTATTTCTACATTGAATCTCTCCTTGATCAGATACACATTTTATAAGGTTGAAAAAGAGCCCCCTTTTGTGGAACAAGAGTTTATGTGAACAGGGGAAAAAAGATAATTGGCTTTATATGCATGCCAGATAACCCGCACACTGAACAGTAATGGGGCATTCCCCAATCTACAGCTTAAAACGGAAATCGATTTGAGCGGTTGCGTGCGGACTCTTCCGCTGAAACTACATTCCCCAGCAGCCACCGCGGGAGCGGCCTTTCTCTTTTTTTCCCCCTTCGCGATTACGAAACGTCGCTTTGCAAGCGGAGAAATCAACCGAGCAATTTGCAAGGAGGCGGGAGAAGAAGAGGTGAGGAAGGAGCGCCTAATTTGATTAAGAAATGCATCTTTTGCAAGGCAAATGTTTTTGGTTTTTTTGTCCAGAAGCCCGCCGGTGGAAACCGCCTTAGGAGAGACTTTGTTTGAAATCATTTTTTTTAAAAAAATAAAAGTGGATGAAAGATGGGAGGACATTTTTTGCGCAAATCGCGATGCCGAACATTTGCAAGCGAACGGTGGCGTTTGGAGAAGGTCAAAGGGAGATTTTGGCGGGACGGGGATCGCGAGGAGAGGCTGCCTTCTGCCTCCCATCCCCTTTTTACTTGCCTTTTAAATTATTAATTATTACAAAGGCAGGAGAGAAAGGAAGGAGTTGCCCGAAACGTATTTTTCCTACAGGGCCTGGTATTTAAAGAACCGAAATTATTTATAAACTTATTATGGTATATCACGTGAACTTTAAGAAACACACAAACACCAAGAAAAAAACAAAATTATTTTAAGAGAATTGCACTTCCTCTTAATTTTCTTTGGGTTCACACTGTGCTCTAAAACCACAAGGTAATCATGACCTAAGTCCACACACCTGGCTAGGAAAAAACCGGAGAAAGTTGAGCACTAACTAAACTTAGCATTGCTAACTGATGTGGTTGATTGTGTAAACTCAAGCTGCTGTTTGGCTTAGCCTGATGTATTAACCCAGTAACAGAATACACATTTAGTTTTAGCTTTGTTCGTTCAGCCATTTTTGTAAGTTACAGCTTTTGCACTCCGGTTTGTGTGAACTCATTTTTACTTAATTCAAACCTATGATTAAGAAACCTTGGCTTAGTGTGATACATGGCTTACTGCCTTGAACCATTTGCACTAGTTTGTGGGATATACTTTTCAAACTTACTTCTTTTATCCAACTTGAAGAAAGATTTCAGCTACCAGAGACTGATGAAACAGTCGTGCAAGGCATCTAATTAATCAACTAACTTCATATGGAGGCTTTGGTTAGTTATTGCCTTGCACGACTTATTAAAAAAAAAAGTCTTAATTTGCAAGCAAGAAAACTAGTTGGAAGGCCTGGGATGATCCCACCCTTATGCATGTTATGAAATTAGCTGTTATGGGATCTGGAATATGGATGAAACCTAAGTAAATAGGCACAGGACTTGGACCTTTGATTAGGACTTGGATATGGGACATCATGGTAAACAGGACCTGGGTGGATGGGAAAATCTCAGAATAAAATATTTCTCTATTTTGCCAAGATCCCAACATGGAGGAGTCAATATGTAGCTTGATAGAAAGGAGCTTTATTTTTTTCCTCCTCTGCCATGGGAAGGACAAACTCCAATGTTTTATTGGAGATCTAAATAGTTTGCTTGCCAAAGACTTTTGAGACAGGCTAAAAGTGAAACCCACGTAGTTCTTAGTTTTATACATCTGCAAAATGCATGGTTTGTGTGGCAGAAATCTAGGATTTTGTGCTCAGCAGAAGAGAGTGCTTATAATTTACTTGGCTGCAAATCTTTATAATTTTTCCTTTAAATCTGCCTTCCTGGGATTTATATGACTGTTTGGATGAAGGAACCAGTTTCTTCAGAAGCAGCATAGCTGAATCAAGTTAAGATCTCTTTAATGCTTTTTTTTTTCTCTTTCTAGTTCACAAACCAGATTTCCCCCCATCATTATTTATAGCAGCAGCACTGAGATTTCAAAGGGCATAGTGCATTCAAGGCAATTAGAAAAGCAGAGACAAAAAGAGAAACCCCTTGGATACAGCATGGCGGCTGCTGCTTCAAACTGAAGAGGATTTAGAGTACCTTTTTTCAAGAATGCCTCATAGCCTGGAGACTAGCTTCCATCTCGATCTCATGTTCTTCCCACTAAATCTTGTAGTGGAGTTCATAACAGCTGCCCCTGGGATTATTACATCATTATAGTCTTACATTCCTTTTTAGGAAAGAGATCTAGCGTTAGAATTTGGGTCTGTTAACGTGTGAAGCTTATAGATTCTTGGAAAAGACTAAAGTCCTTTAAAGGTGGAGGAAAGACACTAGGAAAAATAAAACATACTGAACATACAGAAGAACTGACTGGTTATATATGACATCCCAGTATAGCTATAGCACTTAGACTTATATACTGCTTCATAGAGTTTTTACAGCCCTCTTTAAGCAGTTTTACAGAGTCAGCCTATTGTCCCCAACAATCTGGGTCCTCATTTTACCCACTTTGAAAGGATGGAAGGCTGAGTCAACCTCGAGCCTGGTGAGATTCGAACTGCCAAATTGCAGGCAGCCGGCAGGCAGCAGAAGTAGCCTGCAGTACCTGGACCCCCTTGGATCCTCTCCTTTGCTATTTTCTGACTTCTTTAAATTAACAAATTGACAAGCTGGCATGCTGCAAAATGAGAGTCAGTTTGGTGTAGTGGTTTGAGATCCCGGCCTAGAAGCCTTTGAGTTCAAGTTTCACCTCAAGCATGAAAAACCATCTGGGTGAATTTGAACCAGTCACTCACTCAACTTAATTCATCTCACTGGATTGCTGTGGGGAAATAACAGAGGAAGGAGTATTAGGTCTATTCACCACTTTGAATTATACAGGTAGTCCTCGGTTTACAACAGTTCACTTAGTGACCGAAGTTACAACAACACTGAAAAAAACGACTTATGACAGTTTTTCACACTTATGGCTGTTGCAGCATCCCTATAGTCACGTGATCAAAATTCAGACTGACTCATATTTATGATGGTTGCAGTGTGGAATGATGTTTTGATCCTCTTCTGACGAGCAAAGTCAAAGGGGAAGCCAGTTTCACTTAACAACTATGTTACTAATTTCACAACTGCAGGGATTCACTTAACAACTGCAGCAAGAAAGGTCATAAAATGGGGCAAAAATTAATTCACTTAAATGTCTCACTTAGCAACAAAAACTTGGGGCTTAATTGTGATCGTAAGTCGAGGACTACCTGTATATGAAAAGAAAGGTGGGATAAAGATGTAAAAAAAATAAAAAGTCTCTAGAACAGTCTGCATTTCCAAGGAGCCCATGGAGCTCCAGGTGAATTTCAGAAGCTTTCTGGATAAATAAAAATAATGGCTGGATGCAATCTACTACTTAGTTGGGCATGTCTACTTACCTAGAAAAAAGGCAGATGAACAGGTGTAGTAGAATATGAGTATAGAAGTTTGAGTATGGGAGTATGTCGGGGGCTGGCGTAATAGCATTATGACAAACCAGGAGTTTATAATTCTAACTCAAAGTCTCACTACCTGAATGGGAACATGCCAACAAGGGCCATTTCACAGTGGACCCATAACGTTTCCTGCAATTTGAGAGGTCTTCATTTGAAAATCAGAGACCTCTGTGGTTTCTTGCTGGCCTTCTTAATTTTTAGTTTAGTTTACTTTATTGTCATTGCACCGCGTACAACGAAATCCAAACACCATCTTCAGTGCACATTATGACTATGAAAATAAACACACATCCTTCACCCTCCACACATTGAGCCGAATCCCCCTGACACTGCACCAATACTGCACTATACAGCAGAATTCAAAACAGCTACTGCCCTGGGATAGAAGCTGTTTTTCAGCCTGTTTGTCCTTGTTTTTATTATTCTGTACAGTCTGCCAGATGGTAATAGTTAAAAAAAAAATGGTGGAAGCAGGTGACTTCACCAGTCCACTATGAAGGAACAATTATCTTGAGTATCCAGCTGAGAATCTCCTTGGCTTCATCCCCCAAACCTCATTTTACAACTGCCAACTTCTGACAGCTGAATATATGGCTCAGTTAGGTAATTTTAACCTGGCAATCGAGACTCCTCTCCATGCAGATCTTTAAACAGAAATGTATGTTACTTGTAGTCCTCGACTTAAAACAGTTCATTTAATGACCGTTGGAAGTTACAATGGCACTGAAAAACATCATTTTTCACACTTATGACCGTTGCAGCATCCCCATGGTCACGTGATTTGCATTCAGATGCTTATTAGCCGGTTTATATTTATGACAGTAGCTGTGTCTCCTGGGGGTGGGTGGGGGGTGTTTCATGCCATCCCCTTTTGCGCCTTGAGAAGCAAAGTCAATGGGGAAGCCAGATTCATTTAACCGTGTTACTAATTTAACAACTGCAGTGATTTCACTGAACAAATGTGGCAAGAAAAGTCGTAAAATGGAACAAAACTCACTTGATACATTTCTCCCCTTTTAGCCACATAAATTCTGGACTCAATTGTGGTCGTAAGTGGAGGACTACCTGTATTTTCCTAAATTCAAAAACTGATAAACCAAGACTACTGTATAGAACTGTGATGGCAAACCTATGGCACTTGTGCCACAGGTGGCACGCAGAGCCATTTGTGCCGGCATGTGAGCTGTAGGCAAGCTTGCCTCACTGGGTATGTGCGTGCCTCACAGCTTATTTTCGGCCGGTTTGAGGCCTTTTTTAGCCTCCCAAAGGCTTGAGGAAGGCTTCCGCAAGCTTTGTAGGCTGAAAACTAGTCCCGTTTCATCACTTCCGGTATTTTCGGAAAAACACGAAGTGATGAAACGGGGCCTGCAAAGCTTGCAGAAGCCTTCCTCAAGCCTTTGGGAGGCTAAAAATGTCCTCAAACCGGCAGAAAATCAGCTGTGAGGTGCAGTGCAGGTAAGGGGGTGGCGGGGGGGTGTAGAGATTGTGTGCGCATGCATATGGAACATGGGGGGGTGCATTGCTTTCTGGGTGCTGGCACGTGAGCGTGCAAGCGCGTGCACAATTTTTGGCACAGGAGCCCAAAAAGGTTACCCACCACTGGTATAGAATTTCCTTTTCTGGTTCTGGCCTTCATCTCTAATGGTACTATGAATGCCAGCAATGTGTGATATCCATTAGAAAGCACCTATATTTGGTGATGAGAGCAGCTCTACATCAGATAGGACAAAATGGCCCATGCTGTGGAAAACGTGGATATAATTCCCCTCCACACACACAAAGTTAGGATTGTTGGCACTGTGGATGGTTGTAGGATCAATAAAGAGAAGTTAAAATTCTACAGTCAAGTTGTGGAATCTGCTGAGTTCAAAGTGAGATGGGGCTACGTGTAGCTATTGATCTTGACAACTGTTCTTATCACAAGGAAAAATAGGCATTCCTGGAACACCAGCACCCCTGGAAGAGAAGCACCCCTGGAAGAGAGGTTTTTAACCCTTCTGACTAGGTTTATGAGCTTTCTGAAAGCATCTGGTTCACTAGTGTGAGACACAATGTTGAGTTAGATCAAGGGCCCTCAAACCTGGTAAGTTTAAGACTTGTGGACTTCAACTCCCAGAATTCCTGTGCTAACATGACTGGAGGAGGAATTCTGGGTATTGAAGTCCACAAATCTTAAAACTTGCCAAGTTTGAAGTCCCCTGAGTTAGATTGTCCGTTAGCCTAATGCAGAAGGATTCCATATGTCCTTACAAGTTGGAGAGGAGATTATGTCTTTAAAGCCTTCAGAGTCTCCCTTTTCCCTCAAATAACTTCCTCAACAAAGAACCTAGTTGCTGAATGTCTCTGGAGATTCTCAGTCATCCAAGTCATGGTTGTCCCAAGTGTGCTTTTTTTCAAGAGGCAACTGGACTTTCTGTTTTTTCCTAGAAGACTTTTCACTTCTCATCCAAGAAGCTTCTTCAGCTCTAACTGGATGGAGGGAAATGGAAGGAATTATGCTCCTTGCAGACAGCTGGTCATTTGCATTCTTTTACTTTTAGTCAAGTTGTTAAGGCCACTTGGAGGTTTATTTGTGTCAAGGTCACCTGGGTGGTGCAAATGGGCGTGGGAGCCTTCTTGGAACTGTTGAAAGGATTGTGTTGTAGACTAGAGATAGATGATGTCTTCAGATGATGATAAACGTCTTCAAAGAAAAACAATGTGCAGTTGCCTCTTGCGGCGGCGGGGGGGGAAGCACCTTTGGGACCTACCGTAGTTGCTGAGGATCTCGGCTGTCATTTTGGATTAGCCTATCAATAGGACAGGTTCTGTACCTTTGCCACACCAATATGGTGCTTTATGAATCAGATTCCATAAGTGCTTTGTGCTTTGCCTTTATTTTAATGACCCCAGATATGTACCAAAGCGTTGAGGGAAGCAGCAGGAAAGGCTGTTCCTTCCTTTCTCAAGAATTCCACCTGATCTCCAGAGCCTAAAAGGATCTTATCTTCAGCTGGCAATATTGGGTGTAGTTGCATCAAGACTTTCCTTCCCTCTATCAACCAAGAGAGATGGGCTATGAGAAAACGGCTCATGGGCCCCGAGGTTAACTCCACCGTTGCTCCCTATTAATTTCTCATGGTCTGAGGTTGGCTGCAGTGATCTTCTCTGGCGCTTTCTCTCCCAGATGCTCTTGCGTGGCTTATTAGAATCGCTGCCCCCTTGGACTGCAGGGCCTTGATTACTGCCGCCCCTGCTCTGGTTGAGGGAGATTCTGTTCTCCAGCATTTCCTTCCTGGAGATGGTCTGAGAGGTTGGGAATGCTTGGTTGGGTTGCTCAGAACGGTGTTCTAGTCTAGGGTGGGGTGGACTGACCAGATAGACATAGACCTCTGCTTGCTGTGCTGCTGGCAAGTGCTGATGCCACTCTAGGCCAAGGCGGGGCTGATGAACTCTGGGAGAATGTGGGTAGACATATTCCTCAGCATTAAGGTGGGTTCTAGATGCCGTATCTGGAGCAAAGGTAGAATACAGCACCCTCCGGGGACCAGGTAAGATTGGGCTGGGGATGAAATTGGTCTCACTGTTTGGGTGATGAAAGGGCTCATGGGGCTGAGCTAAGTGGTGGGGAGCAGGCCCCTCTGTGTTTAGGCCCACTGAGCGTGTCAGGAAGCGTTGGCCGTGGGAACTACCTCCTGTGACTTCTGAACTCTGCAGCTTATCACCTGTGGCCCTTTGGTGGCTCCTTGCCAAAACGCCATAGTTGGCTGAACTGTTTACCGTGTCAGGGGTGCGTACTGGTGAGCTGAAGCTGAAACGAACCCAGGAAGCAACCGATCCCACAGGACACGCTGGCTGGGGGGTCTCGGGGTCAGACAGATGGGAGCTTCCTTGGCTGTCCTGGAGTTGTTGGTTCTTGTGCCAACTGGCTTTTTTGTCATCCATATCATGGTGGCTTGACCATTCTCCAGAATAGTAGGCCTTGTTTTTCCTGCCCAGCTGAGTGCAGAAGGCTTTGGACTCATGAGGGTTGCCGATTTTCACAGTCACTTTCACAGGATCTACAATGCAACGGAAGCGCAGAGTTGAGGGCTTTCTCTGGCTCCTGAAAAGGGCCGATTCTTTCCATAGCCTCTTGCTGCTGGAGAGAATCTTCATGGTTTTGAGCAGCCGACTGCCTGCAAACCAAGGAGAAGCAGCCTAAAAACCTTGAAAACGGGCAAGAAAACCAGGAAAGGCGGCTCACAGCTAGACGTGTATGTCTATGGAGATTCTCAGCCATCCAGGTCATAGCTGTCCCAAAGGTGCTTTTTCAAGAAGCAACTGGACTTTCTGGTTTTTCTTTTCTTTTGCTGAAGAAGCTTCTTGGATGAGAAGCAAAATGTCTTCAAAGAAAAACCAGAAAGTCCAGTTGCCTCTTGAAAAAGCACCTTTGGGACAGCTAGAGGTGTCATTCAGCAATATCCTTGCTGACCTACATCTCCCAGCATCTCTGAGAGCTAGCCTGATAGGGCTCTGGCGCATTCAGTGCTTTGGACTCACAATTTATTGAATTCTTGACTGAGCAAAAGTCAAGAGCTAGTTGTATTATTTTGCCTATTATGGAAGCAATGAATGTGAGATGAGGTGGGAAAGGAAAGATCACTTTCCTAGAATTCTCTGGAAGAGCAGTGAAGAGAACGTGAAACAAACCCCCAATTGATCCATAGGCTCAGCAAAGTGATCTCCCTGGACCTGGGGGGGATCATGTGCTAAGCCACCTCCTATACCGATGACCCCTAGCTGTGGGGTTAATTGCTGACTGTGGAAAGTGGCTGTGAGCCACTATTGGAAATTAGCAAGTACAATGTAGATACTTCCTTATTCACTCTCTCTGAATCACCCATGTGCCCCTTTTGTTGTTCTAACCAGTCAGCTGGCTAGGATGTGATGGGCATTGTAGTCTAAATATCTGCAAGGCATCAGAAGGGCAAAAGTGGATCTTAACAATTAGTTCACAATCTAATCTTAAGGCCATTTCCCATTTACACCTAACCACAACACCAGCAGTGGGATCCTACTTGTTCCACCTCTGGTTTGGTGATCACGCGTGTGCACCTAATATGTGTGCGCGCGCGCATCTTTCACACACCAGCTGAGGCCTGCAGCACCAATCAGCTGATGAGAAAGAAGAGAAAAGCGCAGTGCTGGCTGGGAGGGCTGATTCTCCTCTCAGCTGATCTTTGGAGGCTTTTTTCCTCCTCTCAGCTGATCGTTGGAGGCTTTTTTCACTACCAGTTCAGCCAAACCGGTAGGAATTTTTGCTACCGGTTCAGGTGAACCGGGCAGAACCGGTAGCATACCACCACTGCACAACACCAATGTTGTCAAACTTTGTCCCCTACTGGCTTTGTCCCCTGCAACTTATCCAATCTTCTCCGTGTCTCTCTCCGTGAGACAGCTGTATGCCATCCTTAGCTGTGCGGTGAACAATTATTTCCCCTATTCAGATAGACGTTGTGCGTGATCTATTACGCTTCGTCACCAATCATTGTCCAAGATGAACAACTATGGGTGGGGTTGGAATTAAACTTGACTCTTTCAGGCTAATGGGGGGAGGGAGCTCCCCCCACTCCCTGACCAGCCTTATCTGCCCCATTATTCCACTTCCAGAGAGTAGAAGCACTGATGATGTTAGTAGCATTACATTGTTCAGCTGGCTGTGTGCGAAGTGCTTTAAACCTACACCATTTACCATTTTAGGACATAGCTAAAATAGTAACAGTGAAAATGACAGGTCCAAACCCTCCTGGCCCCCACCCCTCATTGCCAAAATACCCCTGATTCTGGCATTTGTTGCCTATATTTGTTGTGTGTTTGGGTGTGAATAGAAGTATTCTGAATAAGCGCCTTCATTACTCTGACCTATTTTTCTTGCTCTTTCAAACTTTATCCAGAATGGAGTGAAGGGGCACAACAAGGGAGCCTGGAGATGACAGGGTCTGGCCTGCAGCCACATTTCCTCTGTTCTACTGCAACACCATGATTGGCGCACGTAAGCAGGAGGAGAAGGGCAAAGCCCGAGGAATCAACCAGTTACTGCTTATCACACGCAGAGACAAAATCAGGATGGCACAGTTCAGCAATGAGTCAAAGCAGAGGCAGGATAGGAATCAGCAATAAGGATAGCAGCCATATATATATATATATATATTGCCATTTCAAGCAACACAGCCCTTTATATCAACAGTAGAGAAGGCTCCTCAGGTTATTTTCCCTAATGCATTACACCAGTGGTGGGATTCAAATTTTTTTACTACTGTTTCTGTGGGCATGGTGTGGCTTGGTGGGCGTGGCAGGGGAAGGATACTGTAAAATCTCCATTTTATCCCCACCCCACTAACCTGCTTTCCAGCTCCATTCTCCAGTGCAGGGCAACAAAAGAAGACCCAGCCGATCAGCTGGGACTCGGGAGGCAGAGAATAGATGGGGGCGGGGCCAATCAGAGGTGGGATTTGCCGGTTCTCTGAACTATTCAAAATTTTTGCTACCAGAAATTTCTCCAGAACTGGTCAGGACCTGCTGAATACCATATCTGCATTACACCTAATGGTGGCACAAATGTGTGTTGGCAATTGTTTTCTGCCAAGTTCCCCATGATGCCTCAATTTTGTTTTCAGTTCAAGGGTGCGATAGTTTTGGGTTTTCAATAAAGGGGAATATTTTCAGCTCAGGAGTGAAATGAGGCTGCTGTCTCTGAGCTTGGTTACTTTCTTGCAGATGTTTCATTACCCAAACTAGGTAACAGAGCCAGTGATAGTAGTCTTAATTATTTTGCTTGTTGTAGATATTGTGATGTCTGGTTCAGCTTTCACTGGTAGGATAATTATGGTCTGGCCCCTTTTTTTAGGTTTTTGAGGGCTGGTCTGTCCTCTGCTGTAAGTTGATCCTGTTCTCGTCTTCTGGTCTGTGGAATGATGTTTTGTCTGATGTTTTCTTGGACCTCTGGGAAGTTTAGCAGTTTTAAATGCTCCCAAAACTACAAAGAATTGCAGATCATTGACATCACCTATAGTTGAGGCCTTTCTGTAGCATTCAGTATTTTGCAATGGATAGTGGACAGCTGGACTACTAGCTCTGATTAACATTTTGGATAATGAAATGTCTTCAAGAAAACAGCCAAGCTCAAAGAACCAAGGGCTCCTCTTCTTGGGTTTTCCTTAGCTTTATCCATGGTTAAAATGATGTTACAATTTACTGAGACTTTTCACTGCTCCGCTGTTTCTTTGACTAGGATCTTTTTTGATTATGAATTATCCCAGTTTTCTGTAATCTAGGCGTATAGCTTGTATTAAGCCACATTTACTGAATGCTTTATTCAATAAGCTATGGCTTTGTGGTTTTGTGCAGCATGTTAAAGCAAAGAGAACTAGAGCTCATCACAACTTTGTGTCATATGTGAGTTGAGCTGATGATTTTTGAAGGCTGAAGAGAAAAGAATTGGCTGGAAAGGGGAATTTGGTTGTTTCCCTCCTACTTTTTTATGCATCTGTAAAATACCTTTCTTGAAGAAAGAATCATATATTTTCCTCAGGAATGGGGGAAAGGTAATCCACAACTGAAGAGAGAGAGAGAGAAAAATAGCATTAAATTAAGTATCTTAGCATACTGAAATAGTTTGGATGGTTCATTGCTCATCAGAGCCTCCAACCAAGTTTTCTGATGCTCTTGAGTAAAACTGGAAGAACTTAAGTCAAGCTATACGAGATGATGCTGTGGTTATTTTACATCTAGATGACTGCCCAGAACTCCTGCAATTATAACACGAGAATTAGCTGGAATAGTAAGAATGGGCAGCCCGGGGAACAGGATTTTGCTGGTCTATGGGTGGCATGGCAGAGGGTGCTTTCCATGCTTTCATTGGACATTCCTGAAGGCGTCCTCCTATTCATTGCCTGGGTGGAAAGCAAATATTATCTTCTAATAAAAAGGACAAAATATAGATACTTTTGGGTACGGGTATAAGTAACCAGTAGGGATATAAAGACATTACTCATTGCATATAGACACAACTACCACATCCAGAACTGCCCAGAGGACGACTAGGGATCCAGCTACTGGGAATTCAACTACAGCTAGTTGAATACAGCTAGATTCAACTATAGCTACAGCTTCCCCAACAGTATAAGAAGGGATGACTGGAAATATAGTTCAGGGGCAGGATATCTCTCTGTATATAGCACTAGCAATAGTACTTAGACTTATATACCACTTTACAGCCCTCTCTAAGCGGTTTTACAGAGTCAGCATATTGCCCACAATAATCTGGGTCCTCATTTTACCTACCTCGGAAGGATAAAAGGCTGAGTCATCTTTGAGCCTGGTAAGATTTGAACTGCCAAATTGCAGTCAGTCGGCAGTCAGTCAGCAGTCAGCAGAAGTAGCTTGCAGTACTGCACTCTAACCACTGTACCACCATGGCTCATATATATTTCCTTTTAAACCCAATGCATGACTTGCAGTTGGCCTGTTTATCCCTCTCCTTCACACTACTGTTCTGAGTATCAGTGGCTATTCCAAATTTCCTATCTTCCTACTGAATGAACATTCTCACAACCTACTTATCAAAAAGAGTCATTAGCAAGAGTCATTATCTAGTTTCAGAACATAAGGAATTCAGGACATCAGATGTTGATTCTCCAACATTTCTATTTTATGCCTATGGAGATTCTCAGTCATCCAGGTCATGGTTGTCCCAATGATGCTTTTTCCAGAGGCAACTGGACTTTCTGGTTTTTCTTTGAAGATGTTTCGCTTCTCATCCAAGAAACACCTTCAGTGCTGAAGAAGCTTCTTGGATGAGAAGCAAAACATCTTCAAAGAAAAAGCAAAAAGTCCAGTTGCCTCTGGAAAAAGCACCTTTGGGATTTCTACTTTTAGTTTTTTCAACAGCTGCAGGGCTCCTGGAATTAGGTCAGGGCAGCAGTTTGGGGAAGAGGAATTCAATCTGGGTCCAGTTACGCCTGGATAAGAGTTATGCTGTGTAATAAATTTTACAAATAAGTGACATCAGGAGACCTTGCTCATAGTGACTCACGCTTTCTTTACCTCCTGATTGGATTATTGCAGTGCCCTCTATGTGGGGGCTGTTCTTGAAGATCATTTAGAAGCCTCCAGGGGTTCATGTGGGTACTTATGGACATAGGTCATTCCCCCCACCCCCCAACATGATTGCTCTGAGAGCTGCGTTACAATAGGATGCAATTCAAGGCGCTGGTTATCACCTTAAACCTCCCATGATGCAGAACTGGGATAACTATGAGGATCACCTGTTCACAAGATTATCTGCCTGCACCCCAAATTCCCATGGGGAGGCCATGGTGCTGGTCTCTTCATTTAAGGGTTGCCCTGTCATGGTACCAAAGTGACGTGCATTTTGTGTGATTGTCACCTTCCAATGGAACTGTCTTCTCTCTCAAATGCTGCCTTTAGCAAGGAGGGGAAGACTGGGGTCCTTCCCAGACATTTGGGTCTAGTTCAATAGAATACCTTACAGCAGGCACGGCCAACCCACAGCCCACGGGCTACATGCAGCCATGGACCTCTGATAATGTGACCCCGCAAGATCCTAACTTTTAATATTATTGTGTGATTTTATATTATAAAACTATATTATGTATTTTATATGTGGCCCAAGACCATTCCTCTTCACTTGATGTGGCCCAGGCAAGTCAAAAGGTTAGACACTCATGCCCTATAGCATCAGTTGTTTTAATCTGTTCTGTCAGTTTGTCATTTTTGCATATTTGGTTATTTTTACAAACGATATATGCTTTGGGATTTTTTTTCTTGCTTAATGTTTTTTATATGCTGCCCATGCTTCTTGAGTTCAGCGGCTGTGTAAATCCCTGTAATAAATAAATCAATAAATACTGTATATATTCTCCTCCTTTACCTGGATCTGCTATTTGTCTCTGAGCTGGGCAGCTGTATAAAAGCAGTCCATTTATGTTCCTCTCCTTTATCTGAGTCTGTTTTTTGTCACTTTAATTCATATTCACATTTTTTGCAGGGCCAAAATGCTGGAGAATAGAAGCCTGTTGTGTTAGGAGTTAGAAGCTGGGTTAAAGGAATAGTGTTTTTGTAATTGTTGGAAAGGCTAACATACTCTCACTAATATTAAATGTACATTCCCTGACTCTCATAGGAGAAAGCAAAGTATAATAGGTAACTTAGTAGTCAGTCCTGAGTTGCTTTTTTAGAAAATTGAATTATTGGGGATCTGTGTATGTATCTCCTATGTCCCATTTCTTTTGATTCTGAGGCAATTCCTCAGGATTTTCTTTGTAAGGAAAACCTTTATAAGAGGGCTTCCTAGCAGAACCCTTTTTTTCTTCTTATTGTTTATTTAGAAAGTAAAACTTTGTTCGGTCAACCTGGGACTTCAAGTCCCCTTTGCTTTCTTGGCAGCTATTTAGATGTAGTTTTTGCAAAAACTTTCTTCAGCTCCCCGTTATAGTCAACTGTGCTGATCCTCTAGTGCAGAGGTATCAAACTCGCAGCCTGTGGGCTGGATGCGTCATGTGCTGGCCACGCCCAGCCCCATATTAACAAAGGGGGAAAAAGTTGTGATACGACACATGACAATGTGTCATCACAGATTTGACACCCTTGCTCTAGTGATCCATTACCAGTCAGGTTGAAACCACTTGCTTTTTTTCTGGGATTAACCAAATTGTGGTAACATGCTGCAGCTTGATTATTTTAAGTGCTCACTGTTGACTTGTCTTGCAAACCTAGACCTAATTCACGCCTTCACCACTATCATCCAGGAAAGAACAAGCCTTGTTTTAACTACGATCATTTGCTTGGAGAAAAAGCATCTCAGCAAAAAGCCTTATATCCAGAAGAGGCTCTTAGGTCCAGTAGAGAAGTTCATAGAAGCCTCAGTGCCTTAATGCCCAGGGATGCTCACCCAATGCCGACAACTTGGAAGGGCAAATATTCCCTGTGGCCCATCCTGCTTGTGAGGACATGCGTTAATACCCACCTGATTCATTTTGCTTACCAAGGCAATCAGTTTAACGGCATATTCCAGTAAAGCAAAAAGGCCCAACACAATCAGGATGGTGGCTAAGAGTTTCTGATGGGTCTCACCAAAAGGGAGGCAACTGTTGTACATCTTGTCCCCTGGCATGGCCATGGTTGGCAAGGGAGAAACAAAAAACAGGCAAGCTGAGAATCAGAAGAGCATCTTCCCTGTCATGGCTGTGTTGCCAGCTGCAGCCACAGCGCCAGCTGCAGCTGTGGAGGATCTCCAAAGGATGGATAAGTCCAAGCATCTGCACAAGCCCTTTGTGACATTTCTTCACTGGTGAGTCAAGCTAGAATTGTCTTGGTTGGGCCAATCAGAAGTCTTCTACAAAGCTACAAGAGATATTCACCCATTGGATAGATGTCATACCATGTAAGCCTTTGAAACCTAGGGTTTGGTGGACAACCTACTGTGACCTTCTTTTCAAATCAGGCTAAACTGTAGTGGCTGTGTTAACGTCCCATACTCAGTCAAGAACCCCATCATGTGAACCATTGAGGTCAGGAGGAAGCATGTTCACTGATTTATTCCCAAATCATACTGGAGAAATGGAATTTTTATTGTCCCCAAAGCTAGTGGGATGCTATTATCTCCTGAAATGCCAGAAAACGCTTCTTGGACAGTGAAAATGAGGGCTTCTCCAATAATTCTGTCCCATTCTCTGCCTCATTCTTCACTGGCCTTTGATTCTGCTCCAATTATTTTGGCTAGAGATTTCCAGAATTTGTAGCCAGCCAGCACCCCGACTGAAGTCCTTTTTAATGGGAGATGCTAAAAATGTAAAGCAACTGTCGTTCCTGCTGAGTTTTAGACCTTTGCCAGAATAGCTCTTTAAATAGGTTCTGCTGATTTCGACAATTCTTCTGTTATTTGTCTGTATGTGCTTTTAAACATTTTTTTCATTTATTAAACATTTAAGAAACAAATTGAGAGACTACATAAAGACAGCAGAAAAAGGATATGGTGGATGGTAAATAAAATTTCAATACGTAAAATAGTGAATGTACAATTGATAAAAGATTTAAAATGCATTATTCCATGGACTGCCTATATTAAACTAGATTTAAATCATCTTGAGAAACCACTGCAAATTACTGCAAAACACTAAACATTAATTCCAAGGTGTTTCTGGTGCCCAAGCAAATCTGTAGGCCTCTTTAAAATAATTCAGTCATGAACTATGAAACCAGCCTTATAAATACAGGTAGTCCTTGACTTACAATTCATTTAGTGACCATTCAAAGTTATAACATCACTGGAGTGACTTATGACCGTTTTTCACACTTACGACCGTTGCAGCATCCCCATTCCTGATTTACATTCAGATGCTTCATGACTGACTCACATTTATGACCACTGCTGTGTACTGGGATCTTGTGATACCCTCTTGCAACCTTCGGACAAGCAAACGGGGAAACCAGATTCACTTAACAAACCTGGCATTGGGTTAAAAAGGATATATATATATAAGCCATGATGGCACAGTGGTTAGAGTGAAGTACTGCAGGCAACTTATGTTGACTGCCGGCTGCCTGCAATTTGGCAGATCGAATCCCACCAGGCTGAAGGTTGACTCAGCCTTCCATCCTTCTGAGGTCGGTAAAATGAGGACTCAGATTGTTGGGGGCAATAGGCTGACTCTGTAAACCGCTTAGAGAGGGCTGAAAAAGCACTGTGGAGCTACTCAGTATTTCACTTAACAAATGTGGCAAGAAAAGTCGTAAAATGGGGCAAAACACACTGAACAAATTTCTCGCTTAACAACATAAGTTTGGGGCTCAATTGTGGTTGTATGTTGAGGACTACCTGTATGATGAAATCATACTGAATCAAGCGGAAATTTACCCCAAATGTCTGCACAGAAAAAGGGCCTTTACTATCTATGAGCATTTGCTGAACATTGGTACCGAGCTGATGCCAGGTTTGTTACATTTTTATGTTCCACTTTTTAGGAATTTGTACAGGTAGCCCTCAACCACAACTAAGCCCACAATTTTGGTTGTTAAGCAAGACAATCGTTAAATGAGTTTTGCCCCATTTTGCAGCCTTTCTTGCTGGAATTGTTACGTGAATCACTGCAGTTGTTAATAACGTGGTTCAAGGAGTCTGGCTTCCCTATTGGCTTTGCTCTTCAAAAGGTCACAAAAAGTGATCAAATGATCCCGGGGCACTGCAACCGTCATAAATACATACCAAGTGCCAAGCATCTGGATTTTGCAATGGTCGTAAGTGTGAAGATAGCAATAGCAATGGCACTTAGACTTATATACCACTTTATAGTGCATTACAGCCCTCTCTAAGCGGTTTACAGAGTCAGCCTATTGCCTCCAACAATTTGGGCCCTCATTTTACCCACCTCGGAAGAATGGAAGGCTGAGTTAACCTTGAGCCTAGTGGGATTCGATCTGCCAAATTGCAGTGGGAGTAGCTTGCAGTACTGCACTCTAACCACTGCGACCATTGAGGTTCAAGATGGTCATAAGTTACCCTTTTCAGTGCCATTATAACTGGTTACTAAACAAATGGTTGTAAGTCAAAGACTATCTGTATTACATATCACTAATACACACTTTGGAAAAAAATAGGCATAGCATATTTGGGCTACAAAAAGCTGAGTGGCCCTGAATGACACCACAGAGTTTTAGTTGTCTCCTTGCTGCCATCTCATGGGTATTCATGTGTTTGCAGTTGAGGTATACCTACAAAGCAATCTAGTTGCTTGGATAGAGTAGAATGAGTTGGAAGGGACCATGGAGGTCTTCTAGTCCAACCCCCTGCTCAAGCAGGAGACCCTATACCATTCCAGTCAAGTGGCTGTCCGGTCTCTTCTTAAAAGCCTCCAGTGATGGAGCACCTACAACTTCTGAAGACAAAGCTGTTCCACTGGTTAATTGTTCTCACTGTTAGGATGTTTCTCCTTAATTCCAGGTTGCTTCTCTCCTTGATTTAGTTTCCATCCATTGTTTCTTGTCCTGCCCTCTAGTGCTTTGGAGAATAATAACCCCCTCTTCTTTGTGGCAGCCCGTCAAATAGTGGAATATTGCTATCATGTTGCTCCCAGTTCTTCTTTTCTTTAGACTAGCCACATCCAAATCCTGCAGCTGGTCCTTCATTTTTTAGTCTCCAGGCCTATGATCATCTTAGTTGCTCTTCTCTGAACTTTTTCCAAAGTCTGAACATCTTTTTTGTAGTATGGTGACCAAAATTGGTTGCAGTACTCCAGGCGTGGTCTTACTAGGGTTTTATAAAGCAGTACTAATACTTTACGTGACCTTGACTCAATGCCTGTTTATATAATCCAGGATTGTATTAGCTTTTTTGGTTGCTGCTGCACACTGCTTGAAAGGCCACCAATGTAGATTAGCAATTCTTGCCTTCCCAGGCTTGTAACTTTTGGTACATATTATTGGGTTTGCAATATCATTTGTAAGTCAAGCACAAGATGCAACAGCTGGCATTGTTGCCTTCTTAAAGTGAACAGTTTTTCTCCTCATGATTAATTACTTAGCATACGTATTCAGCTCAGGAAGACATTAATTACTCAGTAGTTATTTATGTAGAATGTTCCTTTGTCTTTCAATTCCTTCAGGTTAGTGATTCTCAAACTTGGGAACTTTTAAGATGTATGGTTGTCAACTCCCAGAATGTCGAATTGAAGACTACATGTCTTAAAGTTCCCAAGTTTGAAAAAGACTATTTTAAATTATATCACTTGAAAAAACAGTTCCTGTTTGGAGTATATAATGCTTCAAAATACCCATGTCCCACAGACATCTTACATAGTGCAAGAGCTACAGGAGATATCTAGTGTGATGAGACAGTTAAGGAATTGGGAAAAGAAACCCCAACATTCAAGTCTACTTCAGCCACCAAATGGTTTAACAGGAGATCCAAGCGAATCTATGGTGGTACCTTAGGGTTCAACATCAAGCTAGCCAGACTAGTCATCTTATGAAGTCGGCTGCAGAACATGGAAGTTTTCACCTGTTAATTAAATTGGTTATTTGGAAAAGAAGCTCCCTGGGCACCCTAGGGACAGTTCTGCTCTTAGCTCAATCTAGTTCACAGAGTTGATGGTGTGCGGATTAGAAGATCTCCAAGGTCCCTTCCAACTCTCATATTCTCTCTCTCTCTCTCTCAGACACACACACACACACACACTCTGTTGGAGGAATTTAATATATGGGAATTACTTGAGAGAGAGGAGAAAGATTCATGTATTAGACAATGGACAAATGGCATCTGGGTTTGTAGAAGGCATGAGGACATGGTAGAATACAGAATTGCAGAGTTGGAAGGCACTTTGGAAGTCTTCTAGTCCAAACCCCAGCCCAAGCAGAAGACCCTATACTATTCTGGACAAATGGCTGTGGAATGTATTCTTGAAAACTTCCAGTATTGGAGCGCCCACAACTTCTCAAAGCAAGTTGTTTCACTGCTTATTTGTTCTGTCAGGAAATTTCTCAATTCTAGGTTGGATCTCTCTTTGATAGGTTTCCATCCATTATGTGGGTTGCCCTTAGATACTTTGGAGAATAGGATGTCTCCTTCTTTGTGACAACTCTCAAATATCGGAAGACTGCTATATCACTCCTGGTCCTTCTATTAGACTAGATATACCTAGTTCTTGCAATTGTTTGTTCTATGTTTTGACCTCAAGACCCCAATCATCTTTGTTGCTCTTCTTGGCACTCTTTCCAGAGTCCCAACATCTTTTTGGTAATGATCAGAACTGGACGTAGTATTCCAGGTGTGGTCTTAGCAAGATAGTATATAGTGGTACTAATTCTTCATGTGCTCTTGATATTACCCTTCTATTGATGCAGTCTGAGACTGCATTAGCTTTTTTGACGGCTGTAGCAAATTGCTGGCTCATACTTAAGTGGTTATCCACTAGGACTCCTAGTGGATAGTGGATAACTGTCAATAATTACTACTGTTGAGCCAGGCTCCACCTATTCTTTAATGTGCATTTGGTTTTTCTTGCCTAAGTGTACAGCCTTACTTTTCTAGCCACTGAATTGCATTTTGTTGAATAGGGCCCAGTATTCAAGTCTGTCAAAATCTACCTGGATCTTGATCCTATCTTTCGAAGTGTTGGTTAATCA